ATAATTGTTTGTTAAGATAATAAAGAAAAAAGGAAATTTGTTTTTCTATGAGGCAAGTTAAGAATTTTATTTCAACTAGGGCTTTTTCTTAATACATTAACACTTTATAAATATAAAGTGCGTGTTCGTGACTTCGATTGCGTAAATTAATCTGTTTCACCAAGTTGATTATGGCAGAGGTGCTCAGAAGAGGGTTTTATGACGCAGCTTGCGGCATCAAAATTAATGAGGAGGGCACTTTTTGACGGGGTTTTCAATTTTTGAGGGGGGCATATTTTGACGAGGTTATGAATTTTCAAAATGTAAATTTTCAAATCAAAAGACAAGTGGAATCATGGAACAGACTCACAGGATGTGTAATGGTATATATTCTATGAATATTCAAATTCTAATTTTTTTTTGCACTGTTTTTAAGAAGAAGAGAGGAATAAAATATGTTGTGACGAGCGGAAGAAGGTTTATGCGCCCCTCCCCCCCCACTTATGGTTTATGGTTTATTTTGGAGTTTTAATTTAATACCGGTCTCTGAGATAAGTTCCTAATTCTCACATCATTCACCTGTCTCTTAGATACTAAAAAAATAATAAAATAAAATGAAGAATGTTAGGAGGAACCATTAGTATGATAAATATCAAATGCTAAGATTTTTTTTTATGTTTCCTTCATGTCCTTACGATCTATTAAACTATAGCTAGTATTAATATAGGTAATACTGAAGGACCCTCAAGAATAGTTAGTTTCCGCCATGATATGTTCCGGTTACTTTCTACCGGTTGCTTCTCCAAAAAAATACACGTTGAAAGAAATATGGTTCCCTCATTTCAGAACCATCGCCCTTTTTATAGAAAACTCGCGATGTGTATTTTATATAGTAGATGTATTCGTTCTCTGTCTATATCTTGAGACAGATATAGAGACTACCGTTTTCCGTACCTTAATGTGGGTCTAATATTAGTACCTTGTTTTCTGTAGCTAGCATTATTAATGCTAACAATTTCCAATAACTTGAATTAACGTTGAACCATCTGTGCCTAGGCTGTAAATTTCTATAAAACATCTAGCCTAATTGCTGCAGTAGCTGACATGCTTAAGAAAATTATTTTGAACTTTTACCTGTAATAACAAAAATAAAAATTGTATTGCATTTTCCTTGTATTTATCTTATACAACTACTTCTTGCCTTACCCAGGCACATTATCTTTCTTCAATAGCAGGAGTGGTAGAACGGCACTGAATATGTGTTACTGTTTTACAAGATTCAATTATCCTTCTTATTCATTAAGATTCGATTATCGGACTTCCATAGACTCTATTAATTTCACCACAAAGAAAAAAATCCAGTGGTGTCAGGTCTGGAGAGCGTGAAGGCCAAGCCATTGGTCCTGTACGGCCAATCCATAGATTGGGGTATGGGATATGGGATATGATTGAGCAAGTCCGGTCAATGACCTTTATTTCTTACGAAGAAGGATAAATGAATCTTCTGAAACAATGACACATATCCAGTGCCGTTCTGCCACTGCTGCTATTGAAGAAAGATGCCGAACCTGTCTTAATGCTCAAGGAAATCACTTTGAAAAACATTTAATATGAATGTTTATATTTAAGTAATAAAGTAGTTTGAACAAATAAATAGGTTTTATTTATTTCATATAACGTAAATAATTCATAGTGTTGCCCAAATGAGAGACCGAGACGAGTTGCGAGACTCAGTCTTGGTCATGGTCTTGGTCTTGCGCAAGAGTCTCGCAACAGTCTTGCAGTTACTTATAAGCATATTACTATAGAGATATTATTCTAAGTTTTTAGATAGGAGGAACCTAACTAAGCCCGTATGAAAAATTAGAGGAGTTAAATGTAAAACTATATTGGTCATACCAATTATTTACATATAATGACTAAGAATGTCAAGTATTAGTAACTATTTTGCCTTAATTTTTATTAAAGAATTTTTTTTTTTACCAGTCATGGTCGTGGTCTTGCAAACAGACAAGCGGCCTTGGTGCTGGTTTTGCAAAGTGCTAGAGCAAGACCGATTTTGAGCAACACTATTAATTCATATCAACGAAACTCTTTAGGTGTCAATATCTCCTAAGCAAAGCGTTTGCGGACATATCTTCAGAAGAAATTTTTTTCTTGTTTTGAGGTCCTTAGTTAATTTTTGCAGTTTGGCCACTTAACCCTGAAACACCCTATGTATTAATACTAATTAATTGTCCAATCATAAAAACAAATAGAAGGATGAAATAATGGAGGATATAGTAAAAGCTATGGCAAAAGGGACAGCTAATTGAATTTAGGGGCTGGGGGTTTAAGCTGATAGGCAACTCATTTAAGTCGGTCCTCAGTGGACATGATTAAAGCCCAACTCACCGCCTTCTTCTCAACTTGACTCACTACCATCATAGCCTTGGATCAATTCAACTGCTTTGCCACCAGAGTTTGAGAGCAATGAACACGTGATGGATTATAACCATGTTAATTAAATATATGCTGCTACAATTCCTTTTTAGTGGGCAATTCTAGTTTCAATGGTTGTCTCTCGAAAATTATTCAAGAAGTTATCAGTTATTATTTAAAATTATTGTGTCAGTTTTCAAGAATTTGTCATTAGCTTTAGTACCCATTTCTAATCTTTTGACGAGAGGTTAAAATGAAACAATTATTTTGAAATTTATTTCTATTATAACTATTTTTTTTTTTTACTCATATTTTATTTAGACATATAATATTCTGTCTGGTGGACAATGATTATAGTGATAAATGAACACATTCACATTCACACACATTCAAGATAATATACATTAGCCTAGCTAAAATTTATTTATAGCAGTTAATGATAAACTGATGTGGTGAGAAGGAGCCAACCAATATAATGGTGTTTTGAAGAGAAGAATAGTTGGGGTGCTCAGTCAAAAAAGGAAGGCAAAAAATAAATTATAATATTTATTTTTTACATATGCCGACGTTTCGACCTGAAGTTCAGGCCTTCATCAGGGCTAAGAAAATAACCAGATAACAAGGTATGAGAAACATAAGTAATGATGGTAAAAAAGATAATAAAAAATGAGAAAATAAAAAAAAAATTATTAGAAAAATAAAATAGATAGATATAAAGTAAAATGAAATTGTTAGAATAATGACAAAGAACTAAGAATTTCAACAATTTCATTTTACTTTATATCTATCTATTTTATTTTTCTAATACTTTTTTTTTTCTTTTTTCTTTTCTCATTTTTTATTATCTTTTTTACCATCATTACTTATGTTTCTCATACCTTGTTATCTGGTTATTTTCTTAGCCCTGATGAAGGCCTGAACTTCAGGTCGAAACGTCGGCATATGTAAAAAATAAATATTATAATTTATTTTTTGCCTTCCTTTTTTGACTGAGCACCCCAACTATTCTTCTCTTCATTATCCACGACAGTCAACCAATTACCAATTATGAATAATAATGGTGTTTTATTCATTTATATCGGTAATGTTGCCCAAAATCGGTCTTGGTCTTGCACTTTGCAAGACCAATACCAAGACTGGTAAAAAAAAAAATAAAATCGATTTTTTGAAAATAAATTATGGCAAAATAGTTAATAATGCTTGATAATTTTAGATACTATATGTAAAGAAATGGTATAACCAATATATTTAACTTTAACTCTTCTAATTTTTCATTCGGGCTTAGTTAGTTTCCCACTATCTAAAAACATACAGTAATATCTCTATTGTACTAAGCTAATAAATAACTGCAAGACCATTGCGAGAGTCTTGCGCAAGACCAAGACTGATTTTGTAAGACCAAGATTCTTCTCTGTCTCGCATTTGGGCAACACTATATATCGCTAGTATACAATTTTTCATTAACTTCCTAATATTATACGTCAATGTCAGTTTTTATTGTATAAGAAGCGATCGCTTAAAAACTATTTAAGATAATTAAATTCTAAGTATACCATCGTAAAGTAGATTTTTTTTTTAGAAAGCCGTGATTAAATTTAGTAAGGTCAGTGATAAAAGAGACTTTAAATTTACTAAGGTGAATGATATACGGGACTTTCAGGAGATCTAATACGGACGCTGTTTTGCTGCAGATACAGTACCCGTACACGTGCAGCATATATCTGTACAGCGACCGTATTAGACCCTCTGAAAGGCCTCTTTATCTTTGCTCGTAGTAAATTTAATCACTGTTTCCTCTAAAACATTTCTCTACTTTACGATGGTGTACTTAGAATTTAATTATCTTGAACACTTTTTGAGCGATTCTTTCTTATTCAATAAAAACTATGAACATCTTAAGAAAAACACAAAATTGGTCATAATTATTTTCCGTTCGGAATTGGCCCATGCATCAAACTTATATGTTAGAAATTTTGTCTAGAATCCCCCCTCCAGAGTTACGCCATTAAGAATTGAAACACCCTGTATAAATAAAACTTTATAAAATATAAAGAAAATATTTTCAACAATCACTATCAACAAAATTTAAAACTCATCAACTAACATAATTTTGTAACAATCGTAACTAAAAATGTTTCTTGATTATTTTTTATAAATTGAAATAATCAGAAATTGAGAATAAGAACTAGCTAAAAAAACTATATATATTTATTTTGATAAATACCGTCGTCAATAAATTTAAATTCAATTCAATGTCATTCAGACCTGTAGAGTACTGGTTAAAGCTTAATATAGTTATCCAGTTACTGGTGTTTAATAGTTACTGGGTAATAGTTGTTGGTCAGTGAAAAATATTTTTCGGAACAAGGATCTAACAAGAGGCCTGAAGGTACAAGTTAACAAGACGATCCTTACCCCCGTCGTCTTGTACGGATGAAGCGACTGATAAGGAATGAGACGGAATAAGGAACGAGCGACTGGTAAACACTTGGGAAAGAATGATATTCCGCAGAATATATGGTCCGACACGAGAAGGAGACTAATAGAAGATGCGAAAAAAAAAAAAGAAAAGGATTTGATGTACTTATATGACTCCCCTGATGTCATATCTAAGGAAGAGTCATGTGCATAGAATAAATAAGAAAGTAGAATCCAAAAGACGATTGTTGAGGACACACAGGAATAGGAGGGAGCAGAAAGAGACGGAGACCAAGGTTGTGCTGGCAGTAAAATGTTGTAGCGGACCTGAGGACACTTGCAGAGAAGAATTGGAGGAGGATGGCCGAGGACAGGATGCAGTGATTAGGGATTGTGGAGGAGGACAGGGTTCTTCAAGGATTATAGCGCCATCGGAGAGAGAATGGTCTCTTAAGGATAAATAAAATATATGATTGGCCAAAAACTATGCAAACTGTTTATTACAGGATACTTCGTAAATATATTAACCGATTTACATAAGGAGTGTTCTTAAAAAAAAAATGAACTAAGATAAAAGATATGCAAATATTTCAAGGAAACATGGTAATAATGAAACGAAAAACACGTATCATAATTGTTTATTCATGTGTTAAAAAAGATATTCTTATCATAATAAATCTATATCGACCAATCACTAATAGACCGGTATCACTACGGATATAAATCCCATGCTAAGGCAGGCGTCATTACTTCTTATATCACGCATAAACAAAGAGAATCATTTTCAGATTATTTCCTGGTCATATCTAGCAAGTTTCCAGCAGTGAGTTGACGTAGAATTAATTCATCTGTCAGTTAAGCATTTAGTCGTTCCGCGCGGTATTATGATGCAACTCACCGCAGTGCTCATTGCAGTTGTGAGTGGTCTGTATATGGAAGATCCAGCAGTTGCTTCCATTGATAATATTTTGTGCACTCCTATGATTACCATTCAGTGCAACGTATCCGATCAATATGAACACAATAAGCTGTTAACATATAGCAGAAATGGATTATGTAAAAATCTTTGCCATGAAAAAATAAATTTAAAGTAATATTGTTACGGTCATCTTTAATTTAGAAAAAATGTTTACGCAACAAAGTTGCCGGATGCTCAGTGGAGACGGTAGAGTTCGCAAAAAAAAAAAAATAAAAATAATCAAGAGTCAATTAAATATTGATAACTATCTAACAGGCGCCACACTATTTAATTTGTTGAATTTAAATATAGTTGAAAATAGCGAAAACAATAAAAAAAATAAATAAATTTAATTTAAAAAAAAAAAAGATTTGGACGCGGAGTGAGCTACGAACTCGGAACCTTGGGTTTAAAAAAATATATGTTAATTAACCTCATAACCTATCGAACCTTCTTACTCGGTTAATATTGATTTACCCTAATCCCTCGAATAGGGTTTTACAATTCCTTATTAAACCTAAAAAAAAAAAAAAATGATATATACATAAAACGTGAAAACAAGCTGAATAAAACGAGGAAAATAAAACGGGCTATTATTAATACTAATGATGGATTTACTTATTTATATTGATTTAAATAATTGTTAAAGGAAATGAAAATTATGAACAAGAAATCAGATTAATGAGAAAACAAAGATAATACAATTAACTTTAATTACCAAAAAAAAAGAATATAAAATTATTATAGAACTAAACATTAACTTAGACTATACAATAAACCAATTACAAACATTTAAAAAAATATATAGATAGGAAATAAAAACTTATATATACATATTTACAAAATCTCAATGCCGAACATTGTCCAATTGGCACATTCTGATGTTCCAGTTATCTGATGAAGCGGGAACTTATTCCAGCTAGCATCGTCAGTGTCTCCCCAATTTATCTCCTCAAGTTGTGAAAATGTTCATTCACCAACTTGTAAAATCAGGTGGCGCTCGTCGCTGATAATCACAGGTTCTTGGAGAGGAAAAGAAAAATCTGGTGTACACCATAAAACTAAATTATTTCACACACAAAAATCTTAGCGTGCCTCTACACTCGCGAGATTCCGCCATCTCTCTCTAAACTGTCTTTCGTTTTTCTCTCTCATATGTCGGCTGTTATACGGACCTAAAATTAATATTTAGAACTAATACATAAAACTACTATATTTTTATGAGAAGGAGTTGATCGGGGGGTGCGGTCAAATTAATTCTACTTATTTAATTTAGTATTAATTTGACCCCACCCCCCGATCAACTCCTTCTCATATTATATCAACGGTCAACCATCTCTACATCATTACTATATTTTTAGCTAACCCTCTTCGAAGTAAAACTAACAATTATTTTAAGAACTAATTTTTTTTTTTTCTTCACAATATTAAGTTGGACTGTTTTATTGTTTCAAGTTGTCCTCCCGAATGTATCTTGCAAGTATATGCCCCCTTGACCGTATATGACTAGTTTATGTTATCTTCAATTTCTAACCAAGGTTTACAGTTGAAATGCATGCTGTGAAATAAAGACAAAAACAGTCTTCCATCCGTTTTTCGTTGTGGGAGTAGAGATTGATTCTATTGATCCTGTGTCTTAAATATATGGTTGTGATAAATTATTATTTATGTCTAACAATGTTTCATACTTTCATTTTCATGTCAGAGTAATTAAATACTGTTACAATTTATTGTTTGTGCCAAACTAATAGCTATTGGATTTATGTTGCAGGTTTGGTTCCAGAACCGGCGGGCCAAGTGGAGGAGGCAGGAGAAGATGGAAGCGGCGCGGCTCGGGCTGAGTGAATACCAGCAGAGCGTGCAAGGGAGGACCGGCGGACCCTCCCTGTCCCTCCCGGTGGATCCGTGGCTGGCCCCTCCTTTGCTCACTGCTCTTCCCGGCTTCCTGGCACACCCGCACACAGGCTACCCCAGCTACCTCACTCCACCCCTCCCTCAGCAAGCTGAACCCTCAACTCCGCCTCGCAGTCCGCCAGACCTGCGGACAGTTTCCATAGCTGCTCTTCGCCTCAAAGCAAAAGAACATGTCGAATCACTCACCAAAGGGTTCCAAGTCACCTAATCACCGCCTTCCTCTCCCCTCAACCGTCGACAGTATTCTGTGGTGTGTTAGCTCGGAGCTATTGGAACAATTTTATCCCACGCAGTGCCACCTGTGTCTGCGCAATGTTATTAAAATGTCTTCAATTAATAGTCGCAAATAAGATTTGCCAAGACTAATTTCTTGTTTTGACACATAATCTGTGCATTGTCTGGATTTTATAATCAGTAACAAATACCTCAGAGTTGGTACGAGTGAAGAGGACCCATTGGACTGGGTTGATGGAAAAATATGATTTGCCTATTGAAAATAAATTTTGCCGAGATATGAATCTTACTATTGTAGATTTGAAAACGTAGCTTGTAAAAGGTATGCTTTGTTAAAATCAATCACAGTTGTTTTTGTTTTTTTGTCTTCTTTGTTAGTGAGCCGATTTATGTAATATTATTCTACCGTTAAATTATGGAATGAATTAATTATTATCTTTCGTAAAATTTAAAACGAAATATAATCCAATTTTTCTCAGTGATCCTCAAAGGAATTTATACAAACCTTAATAGGTTTTATTTCTAAATAAAGCAAGTCGTTACTGAATAGAACCCAGCCATGAAGCCAACAAACTATTGATTTCCTTCTTTATTATCAATATGTTTAAAAAAAAAAAGTATCGAATTGCATTAGAGCGGGAGCTGCGTTTATTGTAGCATGTATTTTAATTTATTGAATCCAGTGATAAAATTCGCTTTAGTTATAAGGCATTTGAATGACGCGGATATCCAAAAGCCTAATAGTGATGTAAGACTATTAACTTCGAAGATTAAACATAACAGTTAGATTAGCGATAGCTGCATAAAAAAACAAAGCAGAGAACACCAAAATGTTTTTTAAAAAAATTCTAATTACTTTTCGAAAAAAAACAAATTGTATTGATAGCCTTCATAGTCATGACTAAAGTTTATTCAAGATCTCTGTAGTAAATTTGTAAATCGTTCTTAAAATAAAAATGTACTAAAGTTTTACACGAGATAAATTCATTAATAGTTAATATTCTACAGGGAAAAAATATATTAAATGCGATTACCTGGTAATAGGATTACTTGTATTCTCTTAACCCAACGACTCCAATTACCTTGTTCAAACAAGGACGTGCAGTATCTAGACGATATTTTACAACCATAACATAAAATAATACTAACACAAACATTGATGTTAAAAATAGATGAAGTGTGTGATTGAAAAATATTAATAATTACCATCCCGACATTTTCATACATTTCAACTCCGTTGCAATTGATATAGCAAGTAAGGGAAAGGCTGTGTCGTTCAATAAATGAAGGCCTGCCTATCGCAATCATGTTTCGGGCCTTTCAATGAGTTAACTGGCCGCGAAAATATAATTTTGAGGGTAGCAGTATTTGAATCTGTGATATAGTTGAAAGTTCAGTGGCCAATGGATGTCATCATTTTGGATGGCTTCCGTCTAAATGAGCTCACTTTACTTGAGATAGAATAGTCACGTCCCCTCTGCCGGAAAGGCATCTCATACATGAAGCTACTTTTTAAAGAGATCTACTTATACACATTCAATCGGTAGCAGTCTCCGAGGAAATATACAGTTTTAGCTTTTTAGCCCGTTAATAAGAAAAAAAAAAAAAAGGAAAAACTCAATTTTTTTTTATCAAATATTATTTATATAAGTATGAGTTTTGATATTCAGGGAACACCTTAAAAAAACCAAAAAAAAAAAAAACCAAAGGTAATACATATCTTTTTAAGGAAATATGTATGAAATATGAATTCCGAGTGTCTTGTGAATAAAGGCTAAATAAATTTAAAAAATATTTAATTTAGAGCTGGATTTTGGTTAAAAGCATTTAAAGGGGAGTTCAGAGTAGCCAAACTACGCTAAGTTATATTTTCATAACATCATGGAATATTCATTTTCTTTTCTTTTATCATACTACTACTACAGATATCCCACTTTTAGTAAACCTTTCTTGTTTAATATGTTTTAAGCCTATATTAATTATGTTGAGGTTTTATTGCGGAATAGCTTGAAACTTACCTCTAGTTTAAAAAAAATATGTTGAAATAACAGCAATACATTATTACAAAATTTTAATTTCGTTTTTCTCATGTTACCTAGGGTGTATTATAATAAATTAATTACGAAAATACACTTTTTAAGTATAAGAAAATTCTTAAAATACTACTTTTTTAAAAAAAAATATCATATTATGTCATCAGTTCTAGTGTTTTTTTTTTAAATATACCTCAATTATATTAATTGATCGTTATTGTGTAAAGTGACTAAATTAATTAATATAAACGTAAAGCTTGTTAAACAAGGACTTTTTTTTTTTCTAAAAGTGGGGTATCTAGTCCTGTCATAAATATTATTAAAAGGAAATATATACAGATTTCAACAGAAAATTTATTTTCTTCAAAACGTTATTTGAAAATAAAATGTATATCTATAGAGAGTAAAAGAAAAAAGAAATTACTCAAAAAGTCCCACTTTTGCCTTGACACAGGCATTTAATCTCCGTGGCCAGTCATTAATAGCAGTATGCTTCTTGAGGAGTATGCTTCTTGCATACTGCAGTATGCAGTATGCTTCTTGAGGAAAGCGCTCAAATGCTCGGACCAGAGATTGTTTGAGGCATTCCAAGTTAGGGTGTGCTCTGTGGCATGGCATTCTTTCCAGTTCGGACCAAAGCCGATAATCTAGTGGGTTGAGATCAGGGCTTCCTGAGAGCCGATCCGAGGCAGAGATGAACCCACTGCTGAGTTGGCCTGATCTTGCGAGTTGAAGCGGAATCCTGCTGGAAAACCCAATGAATTCCAGCAAACAGAGCATCATTTAGAGGCTTGGCAACAGGTTTAAAAATATCTTCCTGATAGTTTTTAGCGGTTGTTTTGACTCCTTTTTAGCAAAAATGGAGCTTTCTGGTGCCATAAATGAAAACTCCCCACCAAACCATCACTGAGGAAAGGTGATCCACTCTTTCCAATCTTCCAATGATTTCCTGGGCTTCTTTAGAGCTGGGTGCGTACACACGATCACTTTGGCGATTAAATTTTTCTTCAATTGTAAACATTTTCTCTTCGCTAAACAAAATCTTTCGATGAAGACCATTGGTGTAAAGGCCAAGGAGCAATTTGCATCTAGCCACTCTATTTTTTTTTTTTTTTTTAGGGAAGTGGCAAGCCTTCGTCCTGTCATTCTTCGAAATGCTCCTTCCTAAGCTCACTTTTTATAATGCGAGACATTGATCTGACAGAGATTTTCATATCCCGAGACATGATTTGTTGTTTCCAAGTGGGATTTCTTCTGATTCGAGCAGCCTCCTGCATTTGTCGAAGTCTGTCACATGCAGATAGGGTTTCATTATATCTATTTATAGTGATGTACACGAATATATGGCTGATACCCATAGGTTTCACCAAAGTGTTGAAAATCTCTGACCTACATTTGCCATCTTTATGTAAGGTGAGCGCAGCTATTCGGTTTTCTTTATCACCCTACTCCATGTTAACTGAGCGAAAAAAAAAATACAAAGTAATTTGGATTATTGTCCTGACATGTAAAGAAAATAATCTGATAGATGTAAGGATTATCTAAATAATACCCAAGGATGTAAACAATGTTCAACTTTTGTAACAGTATTTATGGCAGAACTGGGTAGTACAGTTGGAAGTTGATAAAAGAAACGAAATGAATTACGCATGATATTATGAAAAAATTATATACTCAAGCGTAGTTGAGCTGCTAAGAAGTCCCCTTAAAATGGTTTTATAAGACGGTTCAGAAGATGGTTAATTATCTAAATTAGTTTTTTTTTATTTACTGTTTCCTATTCAACTAAAGATATGGCATACTAAAAAAAAATACACAAAACTATTTCCTCCTTTTCTGTGAGGAATCAAATCATGGTTTACTAACTTTTTTTTATCTCTTGACTGGTGCTTTCACATCTTTAAATACTTTCATTTACTTATGGGACATTCAGTATACATTGACACACTTGGAGGGGAAGGGAACTGGGTATCCACTACTAGTGCCGCGTGCAATAAAATAAAAATTAGGCAGGCCTAATTTTCACATTAATAATTAATTTTCCAAAGGGGAAAGGGAAACTTATTTGCATAGATATATTAGAGCCACTCCACTAAAAAAAGAGTGTCCCTATATAGTTATGTCTTTTCTGTACCATTTCATCTCGCAAATGCAGATAAAATATTTGTTGGAGATTATTTTATTACAATTTGCTTAGCCAATAAAAGAATAGTGGGTTGTTTGACTCCATCTGTTCTAAATCCGAAACGGAAGATGCCAACTTTTCTACTAATGAAAATAGGTACTGTATTGTAATGATTATATTGGGTATTTTTTATATTTTGATTTTAATAAGGTTATATATAACTCAGAATAATTATAGCAAAATAGAAAATATACATGAATTTCTCGCTTTAGTGTAAATTTTAGAAGCACAATTTCCTTTTATTCTGTTTTCTATTTGCTTTGTATGCAAAAATTGTAAGAAACGATAAGTCTTTTTTTTTTTTTCTATAAGAGAGTTAGACTGAGCGCTTTTTAATATTTCTATTGTGTCTTCCATCAATAAACTTCTTCTCTTTGCCCAAATATTAAATAACAAAATAAGTTTTTACAATACTTTATACGAATATATATAATCTAAACCATTACCGACAGTCACAAATTATATACTTATGGAAATAGCTATTAAACCATTTAAGGCCATTTATAAAATTTTACGATTCACAAAAGTTATTGTACGGCTTCGGAGTTCGAAGTTTGATAGTGGAATAAAAATATCACTACATCGAAAAAAGTACAAATTTCAACATTTGATAACATAAATACAACTGACATAAAATGTTTTTGTTTTCTGCTATGTAAACTTTGTTCATTTTTTTTTTTATTAGTTGTAGTGGGTAATAATTGTGATATTTTCGTTTTCCATTGTTCATTGTGTATAATATATTTTGAACGATTA